CTGGTTTCTACGTTTGTGCAAACAGAAATGTTCCATCATGTGGAGGAGCAGAAGAGGATCGCTCCTCGCACCATTACCGGTGAAGTAACAGGAAGTCATTCGTTGTTGTGTTTTTTCCAGGGTTCTGATTGGCTAGCATGGCTGTATGCTCCTCGTTACACTGCCCCCTGTAGGTGTGGCAGCTCATAGCAGCTCTAAATGACGTGTTTATGCGGGTTTGTTTAAACCAAGATTTTTTGAAATCGATCTGGTGTGAAGGATGTTATTTTTGAAAATGTAGATTTGTGTAGTTTGTGTAAACGTGGCCTCAGAGAGGCTGCATAAGAACTCTAATGTGCCGAGACCGGCTGGCAAATAAAAATCCTGACTCTTGCCTCTCCAATGTTTACATGGAGGTAGTCCATAGAAGCTGCTGTAAAATAATCTCATGACTGTTCATCTGATGTGTTCTTTTGCTGAATCATAAGCTGTCGGCCTGTCGGAGCCTGTGCATGGCTGTGCGCGACATCTGTGTGCTTCTGCATCTCCAGGGACGGTCGGAGTCTCTGGCACTGTTGTTTTGGAAAGTTTGCCAGCCCCTGGTGTCCTGTGAGGTCTTGACCTTTCATGTAAAGCTCCTGACAGACACATGCTTGGACTCGGTGTTACAGGACTGAAACTGCACTGAACTGCATCTGTCAGGTTCCCTGTGTCTCTGAGTGGTGCAGCAGGAAGGTCCACTGGGGGACGCTTGTTTCTCCGTCTGTCTGCGGAGGTCCAAAAAGGTTCTCGCACGGCCAAACTGTCCAGCCGCTGATTTAACATTTCAGGACCTCCAGCTGATAGAGGGGGTATCTGTGACCAGTTCAGGAGCAAAAAAAGGATAAAATATTCTTTCTGTCAGCGTCAACATTGTCTGTCTGTACATGAACAATCTCAGTTTCTGCAACGTGAAGCTTGTGAGCAGCCCCCAAACAGAACCAGACTTGGCCGTTCACTACGATTTAAACATCAGCTCCTGTTTCTATCACTGCAAACATCATGTAGCGGATTAAACAGAAACCAATGAAACCGTTTTAAACAAATTAATGGCGCTTGTATTATCAGGACAAAGTGTGCAGCGATGAGAGGAGGCGGAGGAACACCGCTGGACATTACATGAACTGGACCTTTATTCTGTTTGTGTGTTTGGTGAACATGTACATACGTGCTGCTGATGCTGCGTTACTCATTTCCCACAGCACACGGCCACGCCTCTTACGGCTTGATGACACAGCTGGGGCAAGCCCTGAGCGTATTACACCATGTAGTGGTGTGCTGGAGTCCACCTGGAGGACTCGTGCATGTGCATTGTGTTGGACAAACAAATGCAGGAAATGAAGACTCTGAGCCAAATCAGGGCTCTGACTGGATCTTGGACCGGGGCAGCCCCACACATGGGACTCTTTTTGGGTTTGGAGACTTTTTAAAATCGTTTTCTGTTGTGAGACGATCTAAGAGTCCTTCGGTCCTCCTTATTTCACCTTTAGTTAGTCTGAAATAAGCTGTGACAGAAGAAGAGAGATCATATCTGCCCTCAAATTTGATTTTAAGGCTCCTTCATTGGTTTCAAAGACCTAGATAGACTGACACCAGCTCATGTCTCTGACCTGCTCCACTTCACTCCTCTTCCTTCCACGCTTCATCTTCTGGCCTGAGGGTGATTAAACCTGTCTCATTGTTCTGGCACTGTCTCAGGAAACCACTTATTAACATCACATGCTTGTAATCTTTCCAAAACAAAGAATTATCAACATGTTTTGGTAATTTAAAGAAGTTCTAAACAGTTTGTAGATGCCAGGAAAGGTTTTTTTCATCTTTATACTGCAGCAGCCCCCTGTGTCTGCTTTAGGTCAGCAGGCTTCTGGTCAGTCTGGTTGAGGAGTCCAGATCGTACCTTGACCACGGTGAGCAGGCCCTCGTTGGTGGTGGGGTCAGTGGGGATGGAGAAGCGTCCTGTGGGGTCTCCGGCGATGATGCGGTACACGGCGCTCCAGGCTGAAGTGTGAGGCTGATCCTTGTCGGTCACCGTCAGGTTGGCGACGATCACGTTCACCCGGTTCTCGTGCACCTCCCCGAAGAACTGAAAGAAGCAGAGTTACCAGCAGTCTGAAGCGGGTTCAGAACCAACACATGAACAAAGCAGCGCATTAATGCTTCAGCGCAGCACCGCCGACTGCTTCAGAGCCAGAATAAAGGCCACAGCTCCCACAAACACCGCTCCTTCCTGTCCAACCTGTTCAGCTTTACTGAGGAGGGTAAACATATTGGATGTTTCATTGGCTTTTCACTGCTCCACCATCTGCCTGCTGCCAATAAAAGCTCGCAGAGCTTTAGTGCCGTTTAGACGAACAGCGCCTCGCCCGCTCGCTGCTTTAGAGCCGCCGCGGTTCGCCAGCCAGAGTGTGTGTGTGTGTGTGTGTGTGTGTGGACCCACTGTGTCCGTGGTGAACTCGGGCGGATTGTCGTTGACGTCAGTGATCCTGATGACCGTGGTGGCGGTGTTGGAGAGGCCGTACGTGGGGTTTCCCTCCATGTCCGTGGCCTGGATGATCAGGGTGTACTGGGTGACTTTCTGCAGACAGACAGACAACAAAGAGGCTCAGGAAGCTTCCACAGCCTCTGTGTCACACACTCTGCACACTACAGCATCCAGCCACGCTTCTTTTTTCAAGCAGATGTGAAACAGATTAAACAAGCCTGAGTTCAAATGCAAATGTTATAGTTTGACAAGTGGACTGTCCTTCTGTCAAAGCACCATTAACGCTGATGACTCACTCAGTGCTACTTAACAATAATGTTCAGAGAGCTAATGGCTGCGAGGTGTAACAGCTCCACACCTCCTGCACCAATCCCATTATAGTCCTACCTCCCCAAGGAGAGTACCATCATTTTAGGGCAAAAACAGCAATCTAGATTTCATTCTTAGCATGAAAGGTAGACGTTAACTCATGTCTGATGGAAATTAATGGCTTCTTGTCCAAAATTAAGATGTTTAATGTATTCAAGGACATAATTACAAGAAAATCAAACATATTTTAAATAATAATTCAAGGTAATTACAAGGTACTCTGACAGCTGACTTGAGCTTGAAATGGTGTTTAAACTTTCCAATCCATTAGTTTGGAGAAGCAGGACGTGTCAGGCTCGACTACAGCTCGCTGTGGTTCAGAGCCCAAGCTCCAGAACAACAGAACCACCCTGTCTGACCTCATAGCAGTCATCAGCTGAACCGGTGATAGCAGCATTTCCATGTCCTCACTTTGACCTCCACATAACAACAACCTGTTTACACTCTGCCTGACTGTAACGCAGGAGTCTTTTGGGCCAGTCCAGTGTAAGCAGTCCTGTCCAAGCTTTGAGAACAACACGCAGGTAGTTTATAATCCTGAGCAGGGGATCGTTTTGCTCATGTTGAGCTCTAAATGTTTATTCTGGGGCTCCACTTGAGGAGCTTTGAATACATTTCAGTTCAAACCATCCTAACGTATCTGCACTGGCCCCTTCAGTCTGGACTGCACCACCCTGCAAACGCAGACAGGCGTAGCAGTGGACTGTTGTGGTGATGCTACCAGAGGACACCACCTCTGCAGCAGATCAGCATCTGTGAGCACCCTGCTGGCCACTGCTTTGTCCTGCATGCAGATGTCCCCGGTGGGCTGCCCAGATTTATGTCACACCGGCTCCACCGGTGTTAGGCAGCCCCGCCGTTCATCCTCCTCCTGAGACAAGCTGCTTCAGCTCCCGTCTCCTGCAGACTCCTCTCCCTAAGCCCACTGTCCTCTGACTGGCCATGTTCTGGACGCCTGCTGAGGAACATGTCCAGCTCGCTGTGAGCTGAGCAGAATGAAGCGTACAGCCGCGCTGTGCCTGAAGCACATGACCTTATAAAGGAGTCCAGCATGAAGCAGAAGAACCAGGCTGCTGCCATTCATTAGCAGGATCGATGACATTGACAAAAAAAATGCATTGCATCAATGTTTTTAACCAACCAACGATTTTTGTGTTACTTCACTTCCCTCGAACTATCACTTGACAGAGAGGCGGTTTGTTTGTTCGCTGAGTGGAGTTCAGACGTCCGACGGCAGCAGCACAACGAGCAGAAACTCCTGAAGAGAAACCACAGCGGCTCTTACGTCTGTTTGCTTCTCTCCTGCTCTCTGTGCTCACACACACTGATTTTAATACAGCCAGTTCCTCAGTCTGCTCTCCTTTACCTGGTTTCTGTTGTCAGACGATGGAGCAAGTGACTGAAACGTGGCTCAGTGTTAACAGCAGCCGCTTCAGGCTGCTGCTCGGCCCGCTAGCATCTGTGACGTCATGCAGAAACCATCATACGCACATGTGAACGCTCACGCCTGTATTCAGCATACATACACACATCTGAAGCTGCAACCGAAGTCAGAGAACGAGTCCACAATAAGGAGGAGAGGATTAGCTGCTGGTAAATATCCAGTGTTTCTATGCTGCATGCTCCAGTTTAACAGTTCAGCATGTTGGTTGCTGCTTCCAGCTGAACTGGGCTGCTTCATACTCTGGCATGTTCTGTCAAAATAAAGTTAAATTAAATGAAACTGTCATTTTGCTTTTAGTTAATCATCTAGGTGATGGACTAACCAGTACAGCAGTCGCTAGAAACAGCTGATCGAGGCAGCACTGCTGGTAAAGCAGTGCTCAGAGCAGTCTGAGGACCGTTGGTCACACATCTACCTCCTAATGTCAACCTTGAACCACATTTACTATAAATATCCAAACTGAATTGGTCCATAAATGGCACAAAATAGCGCAAAACATAATCTGTCCCCTTCAGCGTGAGCCACAGAACACTGGCTGGGTTCTGTTCTAGTACAGTACCACCACCTTCACGTCACACCACGCTACGCAATGACAACTATACCAACTGTCTGCAGACCGAGGCCCTGGGATGTGCTGGAGGCTCCACAGCCACTGAGGGCGCTTTAAGCAAAGAACATTTTGAGGGACTGGTGGGAACCATGTTCAGAGAAAAGAGCAGCACAGCTCGTTTCTAACTGTGTGCTAACAATTTAAAACGTGTTCATTTAAAGACACGGAACATTCTTCAGAACAGCAGAAGTCCGACTGACTGTCAGATCATCCGTCGCTCTTCTGTACGCTGGCGCCCAAACAGCACAGAAGAAATTCTGTTTGATTATTACTGGTGGAAAACACACAGAGCTACAGTCTGCCTGTATGCTGCAGGAGACACTGCAGGCTGAGAGGCAGCGCACCATATGGGTTTAGGAAGGAGCCTGACAACACACACACACACACACACACACACACCTCCCGATCGAGGCCTGCAGCCACAGTGATGATGTCACCGGTCTTGTTGTTAATGGTGAACATGTTGGAGGAGGGGCTCTGGGGATTCTGGGAAAGGATCTTATATCGCAGCATGCCATTGGCGGTTTTGGGATCATCCTTATCCACCGCTGTCACGGTCATCACGAAAGATCCTGCAGGGAAACACACAGGGAGGAGTCACTGCACAAGCTACACCTCCGGGTCTATGTGTGTGTGTGTGTGTGTGTGGGTGTGTGTGTGTGTGTGTGTGTTGGTACCAGGCTTGGATCCCTCAGGAACGGAGCCATTGAAGATGGTGTGTGTGAACTCTGGTCGGTTGTCGTTCTGGTCGATGACGTTAATGACGATGTCGATGGGGTTCTCCACCTGATTCCCGTTCAGGTCCACGGCATGGGCCCGCAGCTGTAAACACACACACACACACCCTGACAATTAGGTTAAGAGGTTCAGCTAAAACAGCGATAAACAGCGATAAAAGCGTTACTTGTTGTTCACAGCAGAGCTTCGTTCCACAAAGCCCGCCTACAGGCGTTCAGCGCTCGGTCACATCTCAGGAGACGCAGCGGCTGCCCACACTGTCAACACGCTGTATGCGTACGTATGTATATGTGCTTGACTAATAAATGTGTCTGGGCCAGCTCTGTGCTGCTTCAACATCGGTTCACGAACCGAGGAGTTGAGTGAGAGTTGCCGTTTACATCGAGGTAAGGCTGCCCGTCATATCAGGAGCAGACAGGTGACCGCCAAGTGAAGGAAATGTTGAGGCTTCAAACAGCAAAACCATATCAAAGGTGGCTGTTTGCCAACAGGCTACAAAGCGTGTGTTCACAGGAACACTAGAAATGTTAAACGAGCTGGAAACCGAGGAGCAAAAGTGTGAGGATGAGCTGAAAATCATTTGCATAGTGAAGAAAAAAAATCTCTTTATGGCTGCACAGAAAGTCAGGATGCAGGCGAACATGTTTCCTCGTCATTGATCAAAGGAAGACTTCAGGATCAGAACCTCACAGGACTCCGCACGAGACGCAAACACCCGGCAGAAGACCAGGCGACAGTTCACAGAAACAAGTCGAGTTGGTAGCAAAGTTTAACGAACTGATGAACCAGCAGCCAGCTTCTATCAAACGACGGAAGAGGACAGGGTGGAGATAAAAAGGGAAAGTTGATCTGTCGGAGCCGTGGTCCTCTGGCTGCCAGTGGAGCTGCCAGTGCCGACAGAGGCAGCAGGATGAATGCAGAGGTATACAGGAGTAATCTGTGTGCTCACATCCAGCCAAATGCATCCAAACCTATTGAACCGTGTTTTGTTGTTCAGCAGATCACGCGGCCAAAGCAACCAAAGCGCTTCACACGGCGAAGAGCTGGAATATCCTCGACTGGCCGAGTCGGTCACATGATCACACAAATAAAGTATTTTTCATTTCATTTCATCTCAATCTGAAGGCTGAGAGTTTAAACGAGTGCTGAGGGAGTCTGGGAGAGGTCTGAAGGTCTGGGAGAGCATCTCCAAGAAGATCCAAAGGGTCTGCTGCTGTCCCAGACTCCAAGACATCAGCGTGGAGGGACACGAACAATGAAACAGGTGGTGCAAACAAGAAGGTTCTGGTTAGGAACCTGCTGGTTGACTGAGGTCTCTGCATGTTCTCCTTGTGCTTGTTCTCCTGCTTCCTCCCTCATGCCCCGACTTTCATGTCCAGCTAATTGGCCGTAGGTGTGAGAGGCTGTCTGTGCTTTGTCTTGTGGGCTGCTGACAAGTCCAGAGTGGACCCTAATGTCAGCTCCGATTGGCTGGATTCTGTTTGACTTCACGCTCAGCAGGCCAATTACTCCTGAACCTCTAAACGTTCTGAACCATATGTAGGTGGTAGTAATATGGCTGGTAATCAGATCTGATCTTCAGCAGTTTCTGATCAAAGTTTTGCGGTGGAGTTTGTGTGTTCCCACAGCATATATCAGATATCAGTCTCTGATTACTGATGATCACCATCACAGCCCGACTCTGTGTCATACGGGCGACGCTCTCCACATCACCATGTGATATTCCACTTTGTAGTGCGAAACATTAGGTGGCACAGAAGCTCCAGAATAGAACGTGTTGTAATTAATGTAAGCCATTAAAATCAGCTCAAAGACTGACTATCATCATCAGGAAAACTCCTGAAAAAGCAGAGAGAGCAATCCTAGCAGCCGCTCTGAAGATCCAAAATCTATTTTATAACCTTGATGGTCTCAGTTCAGACGGACGCCTGTGAGATGTATTTCTTTTGCATAATATGGTCAAAGATGCTGAACACAGCGACTGATTGGCCCCGATAAGTCACCTCTTACAGTACATGGAGCATCTGTACAGGCCCTCACAGAGCCAAAGCCTCCCTCATGAATAAACATGCAGGCCAATCCCGGCTCCTCGCTCTGACAACTACATCCAATCACATGAATATTCATCAGACGGCTTAAATGCAAATCGCTGTGCTGCGACTCCAGATTTCCACTCCCCAGTGCGAGTAGTGGGAGCATTCCTACAGATCAAAAGGTTAGACTCTCGGAGCTGTTGGTGACTGTATTAGATATAGTGAGCAAACAGTAAGTGCCTTTTTAAAACATTTTCTCCTTCATCTCTATGCATGAGAGAGAATAAATCCAGGACAGCGTGGCAGCAGAGATGAAAATAAAAACACATGAGCAACATGTCGAGCCCGACCGGGAGCAGATTCGCCATCCACAAGCAGCCAGCACAGGGCCACTGTGAATCCACTGAATCCACTTCAGTCCTGACCAAACCCAGTCACACTCAACTGGGAAACTCGTTAGGCGACCAAAGTTAAAACAACTTCTTTGTAAAGGTTCAGATGAGACCTGTCACCTCGCCACAGATGTCTGGATGAGTCCAAACACCTACTTGCAGGCAGCGGTTTCATTCTGAGCTTTGGCAGCAGAACTTCATGTATCGCCACTGAAATCTGAAAGTAACCGTCAGTGCCGTCCAAACAGACAGACCCGCCACACCAGTTCCTAACAGGCCGCCCTTTGGTAATGCGAAGAGACGAAACACGTAAAAATATACCAAGATTACCATGGCAGGTTGTCTGGTCAATCAGCTGGCTGATAAGCTCTCTAACTAGTTGTCTGGTCAATCAGCTGGCTGATAAGCTCTCTAACTAGTTGTCTGGTCAATCAGCTGGCTGATAAGCTCTCTAACTAGTTGTCTGGTCAATCAGCTGGCTGATAAGCTCTCTAACTAGTTGTCTGGTCAATCAGCTGGCTGATAAGCTCTCATCTCGCCGAATTCTCATGGCTCAGACTATCACCAACGTTACTTTCAGGAGGAGAAAGGTGAAAAGTTAAAGCTATAACTAAGGAACTTCCCGTTAACGGTGTGGACGGTACCGGCGGGAGTGCACCTTGGAGTGCAGCACACACACCTGCCATAACCGCCCGTTCAATCTCTCCTAATTGGACAGAACCGGCCATGTTTTGGTCCTTCCCTTCACTTCACCTCCGCATCCACGGCACGGCGGTCAGATGTGTGGGCGGGTCTGTGCGCACTGAGAGGCGTGGCCTATTTGCATATTTTCTAAATATTTAGCTTTACACTTGGCGACACATTTAGATTTAGATTTAACATTTACATTTAAGATTTAGAGTGAACATTTAATTTCAACCTCAAATGTGAAGAAAATGAGCTAAATATTAAAAATTTATCAGCTAGAAAAGTGTGACTGAATGTTTACATTTGGCACCTCATATAGCCCTGTGATAGGCTGGTTACCTGTCCAGGTGAACCTGCCTTCACCCTGAGTCAGCTGGGATAGGCTCCGCCCCCCATGACCCTGGTGAGGATTAAGCGGTGTATGGATAACGGATAGATGGATGGATTTTTAGAGTACATTAACAAGAGCTGCAGTTTGAAATCCCGTGTTCCAGATGTACAGGCAGTCTTTGTCTATCCGTGGATTCATCTATGTCACTGTAATGTTCAGAGCAGCGACAACAACTGGAGCTGCAGAACCACAGTGTTCTCAGTCTGGGAACTGGACTGAGAAATTCAACGTTCAATGTGCTGTGAGTCTTACGTGGAAGTTGGAGATGTGTTCTCTGTCCAGGGGCTTGGTGACCGACAGCTGGCCTGAGATGGGGTTGATTATGAAGATGCCAGTCGGAGGCTGATCGGCCCCAGGGCCCGTCACACTGTAACGCAGCATCCGGTTCTTATCCCGGTCCGAGCGGATCTACAGCAAACACAGACAGAGTTCATTTAGAGAAGGAGACATGGATGATGAGCTGGAACAACAACTGATGGAGTCGGTAACAAACAACAAGAAGCAAACGTCTGCACAGAATAAACATCGTTTTCCTGCTTCTTTGTCAGCATCTGCATCTGTCAGTGTATTTCTGCAGATACTTCTCCCCAGCAAGTGTGACTGCTTGTTTAAAGGTAAGAACGTAATAAAACACAAGTGAAGCCAGAGTTTGTGAGTCTGACCTGGATGTGTCTCGTGTGTCAGGATGACTTTAGGCTGGTGCAGGCAACACTCGGCGAACGCCCGAGGCTGCTGCTGCTGTATCAGAACAGGGATGTGATGTGAGCTGAAGTCGAATTAAATTGTGATGCTGCGTTAATATCCTGCACGTTGTCCATATCATCAGACAGAGCGGCGAGGACGGGTCTGGACACAACAGACATGTTTACAAAACCCAGAGACGGGACGGATGAGTCGAACACTGGAAAGATTCCAGTCTGATTTAACTGCACCTGTTGTATTCAGTTCAACACTTGTTGGTGGGCGAGAACACAAGCGCCACACAAACAGAAATCCCATTCAGAGCTGCTCTGCTCGTTCACATTGTCCTCAGCAGAGCAGCATCTGGCTCTCTGTTTCAAAGCCACTCACAATTAAAGCCGCCAATACGACTTTGTTCCTCTTAAATTTGGCACCCAGATGTCATGCACCAGGAACAGCCTGACCAAAGCGGCTGCATGCGGCGGCGTCACAGCGACTGCTCAGTAAAGACGAACAGCAAAGTGACACCGAGGGCAGCTGATTTAACACAATGATCTCAGCTCAGGAGCTGATGGTGTGATCAGGAACCACAGCATCCCTGAATCAGCTGGAAGCTTCCCTTTACCTTCACGTCATCCCTCTCTCTGCTGTCTGTATCGACGGCTCATAACGCCACAAAAACACCCTGAAAACACCCGACGTTCACACAGTCTCACTCCTGGTGGGCTCGTTCGTTACGGCATCATAAAGCCCTGAACTTCTATGGAAGCATCACAGCCATGAACGAAAGCAGAAGGAGCTCATGAACACTTTCTGTCCAACTGCCCACAGCTTTAACGGATATCTTCTAAATGGGGGCACCTCAGATACAGACTGCAGTTCAGATAAACAGCTTCTAAAAACAGTCACCGATGGCTTTCCATTCGCACGAGGAGAGTACAAGTTATGTTATTTTTATAGAAGTCAGTACAAATGGCCACTTATTAAACCAGACGTGAAGAATATGTTGATTAAATATGACGATGTTTAACTGAGCTGTGTTTTCACAGAGGAGCAGCTTAAAGACTGCCGGCCAGGTGGAAGTCTGCTGCTGTTGTTTCTACAGTTTGTTCTGATAAATCGTGCCATTCTGACAAGTTCTAAAAAAGAAAACACGCCTTTCAAATGGGGATGAGGGCTTCAGAGTTCAGCAGGCTACAGGATAAGAGATGCACACAGGTTGGTGGATATTTCATTCTGTTTTCTCTGTGTGACAGATGTGATGACATAGCTCCCTGAATGTCGTAGGAACGCTGCAAAGCTGCTTCAGCCTGTTGTTTGTTGTCTCCATGTAGCCACCTGTAAGTCTAAGTATTAAGTTACTGGCCATGGGATTACACTCTGAGGCCTTACAACTTAACAATACAGCATATCAGAATCTGTCCAATGCCCCACATTTCAGAAACAACTGTCCCATTAGAAAGCGTGTGCACAGTGTGATGTCTGGCACTGGGTGTGGATTTCATGTAGTATCTCCATATATTCCATAAGTGTGACTCTCCACACGTATGGCAAACACTGCACATGCACTGAGACTGTTGCTGTCATACATATGTGTGAATGAAGCTGTGTGGAGCACAGCATCACAGGGACGGCATCCTTTCCTTTATGTTACGTATCCGTCGTCCTGAAACAGCTTTAAAGTCTCCCTACAAGCTGCAGCAGCTGTCAGCAGCATGTCAAGGTCCTGCAGACGGGGAGAGCTTTCTGTTTAGGTTACGTCCCTGCATACAGTGCTCATCAAGGTCCAGAACCTATCCCTATGCTCAGGCATCACATAGCTATTCCATGTGTGATGCAGCAGACACAGCAGACAGAAAGGAGCTGACGTGTGTGATGGGGAGGCCGTCGGCTCTGCAGCTTTCTTTGGTTAAAAAGACAGAACATGATACAAACTGAGAAGTGAGAATGCTACAGAACGTTTACTTTCCGCTTTGTACCGGCGCTCTAGTCGTCAGTTAAAGTCATATGTAGACGGCAGCAGCTGAGCTCTGCTCAAGCTGTTCAGGTAATCAGGTTACAGGCAGCAGCTCCATCTGCCACACGGCAGACGCTACGCTGAGGAGTCAACACAGGGTTGGTTCGACTCTGCTCTGTCCTCATAACTCAGAAAGAAAAAACGCTGTGCGTCTGTTTGTTTACACTCGACAGGTGTTTAGTATTGATGGATGTCTTTCATTTTATTAACAGTTTTAGTTTATTCTATATTTCAGTCAGAGAACATTTCCGTCTGCGGCTCCGTTCTGGGACCTCGGAGCTCCTCCACAGAAGTCAGATGATTCCAAACTGTGCTTCTGCTTGTGCCATGAACAGCTGAGTTTGGTTTCCAATCAGGCTTTCTGCATGAACATAACATGAAATGAACATGAGAAGCTGCTCAGGCCTTTTCTATCTGCAGGTCTGCATCATGTTTCCAAGAATTATTATCAAGTAGTGAAAATCAGATTGTGAAACTCCACAAATATAATAATAATAATAATGAATAATAATTCATTTTAGTTGTATAGCGCTTTTCAAGAACTCAAAGACGCTTCACAGGATAAAAGCAAAAAAGCAATAAAAGCAAGAAACAATAAGCAACAAATACAAAGGTAGACAATATAGAAATACAGCAAGCAGAAAAAAAAGGGTTAGGGTTAGGCAGTAGAGATTATATATGTCTACATCTTTAGGTCAGTGTTTTTGTGCCTGAATTTTGGCTGCAGGTGTGATCCATCCTGTCCCAGACGTGTGCTTTATGTACGAAACAGATGCAGCAGGCTGGAGTTGCAGCTTCTGTGAGAATAGCTGCAAGGTGGAGCCTCTTGCTCTTCAGGGAGGATCATGCAAATAGCAGCAGGAGACAAACAGAGGATGACTGTATGCTGCTCATTTACTGAGGTCAGTTAGTATGGCTGGAAAAAGCCTCTGTCTGAAAAGGAAGTGTGAACACGGTGCAGATGGAGGAAGGCTGCAGCGAAAAGCAAACAAGTATGGACTGGCACTTAAAGTCCGATGATCACGAGAAACAAAATCAACAGTCCAGTGAAAACTGTGAGTCATGATTGTGCAAATCTGACCCTTTATGTCTGTGTGGTCCTTAAATGTCCCTCTGCTGCTGTTTCACATCATCCACTAATACACCGTTCTGTCCCACTGAAGGATACTCAGACGTCTGCATCAGCTTCAAGCAGACTTTGAAGTTCATGCTTCTTGTCTAAGAAGCAGCGCTCCAGCGTACGTCTGTGGCAGGCTGCAGGCCTTCGAAGGTCATCTGAGTGGGTTTTTATGTGTTAAGCTTTAAATGCAAAGCTGGTGAAGCTGCCGTTACTCCTCATGCTGCTCTGTCTGGCTGCGTTGGCTCGCCGTGCTGTTAGCTACAACATCTCCTTGTTTCTTGCATTCGATTAGTTTTATTTTGTGGCCATTGTCCATTTCGATGGCATCTGATTATTTTAATGAAGGTTTGTGCCTTTATGTTCTTTGCTTCTCTGCATCTTTGTTGTGTGTTGCTTGGGCCGGTCAGCGGAGGGTCCTCACAGTGTGTGTGAGTGTGTCTTACCCTGACCAGGTCCTCGGGGAACTGTCCTCGTGAGTTCTCGGGGACGTTGATAGGCGGAATGACCCAGTCCCTCTTCACCCGCCTCAGAGTGCCATCACCCCTGACAACCACGCTGCGCCATGGAAACGAGATCTCTGGTACCTGCTGAGTCAGTGTTGCATCACTGGGCTTTACCTGCAGAGACAGTAAACAAGCGGTGTGTATCTTGTGCTAGACACACACAGACTCACAAACACACGGCACAGCTGAGTTCTGGGAAGGCTTGGTGACTCAGGATATTTCTGACCTCATTCCAGTGGCTTGGATTAATGCCCTCATTATAGTCTGCCTGATAAATGACCACCACCTGTCAGCGTGTGTGTCCTCTGCAGCCACAGATCTGCGTGACTGGGCGCCGAGCAGCCACGCTGCAGGGTCCACAGAGGATGATAAGGAAAAGGAAGAGCTTCTCATTTACTCTGCCTCCCCTGATTCACCTGCGGCTCAAGAGGAGTTTGACCTTGGAGACAGGAAGAGGTGTTCTCAGCCGGTTTCATTACATTTCATTCATGAATTACGTCCACAAATACTGAATCAATGTATCTGGTGCTTTTAAAAGAGGACTGAGTTCTCATACTGCAAACATAAACCGATAAAGAAGCAGGTTCTGGCAGCGGCACCGGGATCAACCTGCACCTGAATAAAACGGTGACGTCAGTAAATGAGCGTTAGCTTTGCTTAAAGCTCACATTTCAACAGGATGCTTCAGGAAATGATCCGTGAGAGGACCACCTGCTGTCAGCAAAACGCTGCAAGTCTTTCAGTCTGTCTTCGGTCAGTGATTAAATCCCCGAGAACTCATCTCTGCATATCCAAGTTACATATTTAGAAGGTTTCTCCATGAAATAATCCCTTCCATCCTAAAACCCCTGCCTCTCTCTCCACTCGGCCCTCCCCACTCGCAGCAGCTGGAGCACACCAGCTCACTACTCTACACCTGACACTGATGGATAGAAAGACACCATGTGGACATTGCAGCAGGGTTAAAGGAATGTGTCCCAGAGGGGAGGTGTGACCTGAAGCAGCAGAGTGGGATGTGATGCGTTATACTGGTAGTGTACCTGTATACCTGTATCTCAGGTGTTTAGGTCTCACTCTGTGTTTCAGCGCGTTGTGAAGCTGCTCTTCTGTGCATGAGTTTATGTGCTGCATAAAACAAACACAAAAACCTGCTTCTTACTTGCCAGACAAGCTTTGTTTGAAGTCCAGGCGTGTCTCTGTGACTCCTCCACATCACCATGAACACATCTGCTGCCCAGAGGCTAGAAATGAGCAGCCTTCTCTCAGTTTGCCATTCTCTCCTCACAAGACCTACCTGTGCTGGAGCTGCGTCCTATGCTGTCTGCACAGAGACCTGGGGTTGCTGCACATGAGCAGCTCTACTTTTGTTCAGCTCACTGACCAATCAGAACAGACTGAACATGCTGGTGGCGCCTTAAAGAGACAGAAGCTGAAATGAGGCGCTGCAGCCAGCAGGAGAACAGCATCGTCTTATTTACCCTTAAAGCAGGTAAACGTATTCTTGTAGATCTCAAATCTAAAATTATAAATAAAAAATAAAATTAGAAACATGCATAATGTGGGTTCTTTAACTAGATGTTGTTAAAAAATAGCAGGTAAATAAACTGAGTTAGTGAGTGAATGAAGCGACACCTGGAGGGTGTGAATCACGTTTTATAAATCTGACCTGACTGACTTCCTACAGTTTAACGAACACACCACAGCTGATGTCAAGAAACTAACAGTTCAGCAGAACAACATGGTGTTTGCTATTAGGAGAAATCTACCTCCAGCATCACAGGAAGCCCTGTTCAGTGACAGAAGGATAAATCAGAGAGTTTCCTGTTGAATCCAGCCGCCGGTGGCAGAGCGCTGCAGGTCTCTAACCCTAACCCTGGTGGTGGAGGATGCACAGGATGAAGATGTGTTCTGGCCACTGGAGCAGCCGGTCGCTGAACTCATGTTCAAAGCATCTACTTTCCAGACTGTGACAGTCGTGCTGCGAGTCAGAATAATTACATGACGATTATGAAGCTGCTGGTTTCCGGCTTCCTTTATGACTGCTGCTGTCTGAATCGCGTCTTATTTGACACACAGCAGCTCTCCATACAGCCCGTACTGCTCTCACAGGGCTGCTGAGCTGTTTTATTGTGCTCTCTGTTTGTAATGACTGAACAGAAGATTCACTGCGGTGCAAAAGACGAACCAAGTAACACGTTTCATGACATGATTATGAAATGGTGATTAGATAGCTCCCTGCTGAAGTGCAGACTCAGTCAGCTGCTCCAAATCACACGTTCTCTATATATTCATTCTTTACAAAGCTGTGATTGTTTATTTCCATTCTCGTCCTGTGACGTTGGCTGAAAATCACTGCAGGCAAGACAAAGGAGCACCAGTGATGACCGAACTGGAGGAGTCGCTCTGAACTTGAAAACTGATCATTTTTAAAGCCGACACACTAAAACCTCGGAGGTCAGAGACTCTTGTAGGACTGAGGTGGACTCGGTGGGCTGTTTGTCTCAGGCTACGGGTTCATGTGATAACAGCCCTGCTCCGGCCTCAGCTGAAGGGCTCGGGGCTGCTGACGCTGCTCCCCTGCCAAATGACTGGCTGCTAACGGCCATGGCTGTTCCTCATGAGTTTTCCTTATGAAGGATTGTTGACAGCTTCTTTCGCTCTCTGTGATTCTCCTCCTCGCCGACTGCAGTCAGCGATGCTGATAGCAGCTAAAGCATATGGCAGCCGGCTATTTCTGGGCTGTGTTTAGAAGAGCAGCCAATCAAAGCCAGCGCCTTGTCTAAATACATGCAGAGGGCCTTATTATCACTGCTGTACATGAAACAAACCAACAGATGGCTGTTTGACTCGCTTTGTCTCTGCAATCAGCACTTGGCCAACCTCAGACGCCTGCTGGGCTGGAGAAGCTGTGATTTTATATCTGCTCATGCTGAAGCAGGGGGTGGAGACGGGCGGCGGTGGGGCAGAAATTAACTTTCTAACACATGCTGGCTTTCTCACACTCGGATGCAGGTATGTGTCCACACATGGGTGCAACAGTGGATGAGTAAAATTTGGAATATTGAAAATGTTATAAATGCAATAAGTAGTCCTTGAATATGATGCCATTAACCAGTTATGAGCCTATTAATCCTCTGAACCCTGAGCGCTTTCCGGGTGGTTTTCAGTCCTGTCACACTCTGGTCTCCGAGGGCTCATTCTTCATGAAGATACAAAGTCCTGCACTTTAATTGGAAACAGCACAACCAGGGCTAGCAGCAGAGACAAGTCAGACATGTTTCTGTGCAGCAGAACACAGCTGAGTGCCATAAACCACTACAAAAACAAAATAAAATCTTTTGCTAAGTCAGGATCAACATGCACAGCAAATGTTAGTAACGCTGGAGAAACAGCGGTGATTCACAAACTACCGACACTTTCCTACTGAGACTTTTGACTGGTTTCCCTTCTGCTCGGACTGAACACAGCCTGCAGTTCGTTCTAAAAGCCGCTGAGTTTCTGCTATGTGATGCTCAGCTGACTCGCTCGTGGCTTCATGGTTGCAACAGGAGCACCGATTATTTCGTTGTTGACAGAATCGGGTTCTGTTTTTTACATGGAGCATATAAAATAAAGCAAACATCATTACTGAGAGCTCAGATCTGGTCAATCCTCCAACAGAACCACAGGTCACACATGGTCAGTTCAAGGTCGGAAAGTGGAAACTCTAATAATCCTCTCTGTTGTGACGGTTTTGGTTCTGATCGTTTAGTGTACCTCTGTTGTTTGGTCACATTCAGGTTCAGTCCAGCAGCAGGTTTTGGGGTTCTGAAGGATGTTAATGAATCCAAGAAAACTACTTAAAGGTTTAGGTTAATGCTAGAAAAGCTTTCATTCTAACAAGCCTGGATGTACCAAATGTTTTTAACTGGAGATACCGGTGCTGTGGTCACCCTCTCAGTGCCGACGGCATCCTGCAGCAGCACCATTGACTGTGGTACAAACAGGGCCGTGCTGGCGATGAAACTCCATGTTTCTGGTGCTGTTTTCACATTAAAAGCGAGTGAAGAGGACTCTGAAGGCGTTAATTGGAAAATATGTGCGTTTCATTGACACTGGCTTAAGTGTGAGAAAGACGCCAAACTGAGACGAACACAGAGGAAGCGTTGGGTTGGCCTCAACGGTGAGTAGAACAGGAGCACATCAGAAAATCCAGACCCGCCCCAAGTGTCTCTTTAATCAATTGAACAACGTAGGCGGGATGGTGGAACCGCTGTGTGTCTGCACTCCAAAGACTTCATTAAACACTGCTGCTGTGGCTGTTGACAGGAAACAGGTGAAACTACACCAGGGACCTCGCCTCCTGCTGCGCTTGTACCTGTTGGGGTCCAGTGCTGCTGTGGGTTGGACCCACGTGGAGGTGCACTCTGGCCTTCCACACCTGACTGGACTGCGGGTCGTGAGCGTAGACCACCACTACGTCCTTCTCTTTTCCCTCCAGGCTCAGGCGCCGCAGGGCGTAGACCACACCTTCCTCAGTCACGCTGAAGTCAGATGAATCTCCAACCTTGAACCACACCTTCCCGGCTCTGCAGTCCATGAAGCTCACTGTGGAAGACAGAAAGGCAGACACAGACGTCAGACTGAGTGGAAAAACTCATTCATCACCTCCGTAATGTGTCTGTATGAGTGGTTGGAGATCTAAATACATCCAGCAGCTGGTTCACAGGGTGCTGCACTTCTCCTTCTTTGCTGAATCTACCAGGAGGATCATCTTTCCAAGCGGTCATTTATTTCATTTCAACATTTAACCCCTAACACCACACATGGCAGACTGGACTTATTGAGCCCATTATGGAAATGCCAATTCATATCGTAGGTGTTGGATGGTTGAGGTCAGAGCTCGGTGAGGGCCACACGCTGCCGTCGCCTCCATGTTCAACTGCATAGCAATGAAAACAACCTTTCATCATTTTCACTGGAATCTGCACCTTATGAAGGAAAATATTAATTAACTTGACCCCAAATCGCTTGATTTGCTAAACAGCTGCTTCTCGAGACGCTACAGTTGATCCTGAACCGTCAGATGCACGGTTTAGTGGATGCTGGTTAGAGGGCTGAGCACAGAGAAGCCTCTCATCTCCCTAAACCCCAACTAACCCTAACTAACCCTAATTAACCCTAACTCTAACTAACTCTAACCATAACCTAACGAACTCTAACTAACTCACTAACCCTCCACTCCACGGTTTTCAGATCCCAGCAACTTAGACAGGCGTGTGACCAACACTTAATCTGAACAGAGAGCAACAAGGTGTCCGACCTGATCCATCTGAACCACAGCATCCCGTCTGACGGGCCGTGCATGAGGACTTCTGAGCATTTTAAGCTTTGGTATCCCAGTCGATCACGTTCAGCGCTCCACTCATGGTGCAGCTTTCATTGCATCCCAACCTCTGCGTGTTGCTCATGTTTCTGTGCATGTGGGAAGTCGCCATGACACCCCGTGGACACATGAAGTCAGAATAACTGGTTTCATCACACTTTTCTCTGTCATGGAAAACAAGCGCGGTGGGTTGTGTTTTACTTTATTAATTTCTATAAGGTTGTAGCGTGATGTGTTAGTACATTCGCTGTTCTTCACCTTGGACTTCATGTGATTTCATGTGACGTGCTGATTGGCCATGCGCACACCGCGACGTCGGTGCTGAACTGAAACATGGCGTCGGCCTAATGCAGACCGACAGCAGCCCTGCATGAGGAACGCTTCCTTCAAATGGGCCAGATGACACAGCAACACACTCAGCTGTTGTCATCCAGCGAGCGGCGGCCTACTGAGCACATCCCAGAGCTGCTGCTGGGCGCTAGCAGCTGCTTACCCAGTGTGCATCCCAAAGGTGCAACCTGGGAGGCTGAAAAAGGTCAAAAGAACCTGTAGACAACCAATCATGATGTTCTTTAGAGGTGCTGGAGCGAGGACAAAGAACATATAAGCCCCACTTGTACTGAGACGATCAGGAGAGGACGGACCTGGCGGACCTGGCCAGAGGGTTTATTCTGCCGTAAATCCTGAAGCTGAAGACCAGCAGGTTCGTCGCCTCGCTGCAGCGCTCTCCAACGTTAGCCCACCTTCGCGGTGGACACAGCGGACGCCCGGGGGAGGTGGCGGCGCTCTGACTGCACTTCACCAGAAATCACCGCAACTTTGTCGACCGCGTGATTGGAGCAGACGCGGCACACTCATGCAGAACAAAGCCTGCGATGGCAAATGTCATCACAGCGGCGCATTAACAACACGTCAGTGCATCCGGAGCAGCTCCGCTCGCTGTTCCAGCGCCTCAGCTGGGGCGGCGTGGCCGACGAAGGCTGCAGCAAGCGCTTCTTTGACAAGCAGTAATAAACGAGGGAAAGAGACTGGAAACAAGGAAGGAGATATGATTTCCTTGTTGTGTACTTCAGCTACAAACAAGAGGACGTGTTTTCTGTGATGTCAGCGTCTGTTCTCCATCATGGCTGCAGCACTACAGCTGGAGGAGCTCACGTCAGTCTGTAAGGAAATCCAGTCATCTATCAGACAAAACTAAGATCTTTGAATTGCTTGTTTTGTCCTTCCAAAACCACAATACACTGACACTGTCTCAGAAACAGGGCTGGATAATTCTGAGGCTCCTGCTTCAATATGCACCGTGTGTACACATGTAAAGCATGAGACGCACTGCAACATGCACGACGTGCAGCTACTGTCCGTTAGACCACAGTGTGCATGTCTGAACCATGCAACAGACACTGATCTGTGGCCATAAACTAGCCCTGGTCAGTCTGATCAAAGTAAACATTTACATCTGCAGCATTTGTCTCATTATTTAACAGCCAGAACTCATAATTTAAAAAGCAGCTTTTGCTATTTACTGATTGCAAAATCTTTTTAAACAGCGAATCAATCATCAACATTGCTGGAGATAAACTGACTAACTGATAATCCACTCATCATGTCAGCAGTGGTGCCGCAGCATCACATCAGGTCAGCACCAAAACTCCTAAATGATTAAAACCTGAAGATGTGGCTGACGTGCAGCACGGCAGAGCAGGCCCGAGTACCGAGGCCTTTGGTTTAGTTCACAATCAGATGGTACAACCTGAGAGTGAGATGACTGGAAGAAGATATAAAATGTTGATTAAATATGCCTGACACACTGTTTCTTCTCCTCACAGTCGACCTTGGGCCGAGTACAGACACCAGCTTGCGGGGAGCTCATTTTCCAGACAGCAGGCAAGTTATGGCATTCATGTTAATTAAATACAGCTGATATAATCTCCCACTGATTGCATTTCCCTTCTCCATAGGTGGAAGCAACCATCAGTCCTGCTACGTCTGACACCAGCTAATGTTACTTGAGCCTTCTGTGCATTTTTTGCTAATCAATGAGACTAGTCTAAGTGGATCTGAGGCTGCGCTTCACCAATCAGCCACAACATTAAAACCAGGTGAGGTGACTAACATGGATTAACTGGTCAAATGCAGCATTCTGCTGTCAAACAACCTTCCTGAATGTTGTTGTCGACCAAGAACAGCTCCATTGCAGCTTCACTCGGACAATGCGCCTGAAAACGCTGCAAAAAGTGGCTCGAGGAGCACAACCAAGAGCCCGAGTGTTGACTCAGCCTCCTAAGTCCTCAGATCTCAGTCTGATCGAGCAATAAAAAGAATAAAAGAAGCTCGAAACAAAACCAGTTGCTCACCACCTGCTAAAAGGAGTCCTTGAGGAAGAAGAAAAACAAAGTTTAGTCTATGACAGAAACAGAGAGAGTCAGTCAGATAAGGTGGATGACTCTTTGCTGCCGTCGGCTTTGTTTCATGCTGTCTGGAGACGAGGGCCATGAAGGCATCGGTCCACTGAGGTAAACGTGGCGACACCACAACTTAGTGGGAAAAGGTGTTTCCATTTCCCACCTCACTCAAGTCATCGTAAAACTTTTACGCTGAATTGAGAAAGTTTTTCAAATGCTGCCAGTTGAAAATGTTCCTAAGAATCCGTTACAGAGAAACTCACACGGGTTTAGTTTCTGTAACTGTGCTGAGATGGGCCGACACTACAGGCCTGTTTCATTATTAAAGCGTGTGGAATCTGTGATCACGTGACTGAAGCTCGTGCTCCGAATACTTTGGCAAAAAATGGTGAAATGAATAATTAAGATTGTGAGTGTTTATTTAACACAACATCCCTGCTTCATAAATGCACATCATGTATGTTGTTTTCCTCCCATCTCGTGAAATATTCAAGGCTTCTCAGCCTCCAGGCTTCCTGCGACGAGGAGTCAAATCAAACAAGCTGAAGAGGCAAAATCATTTTGTGGCTGAGCTGCTCGCCATATGCACGCCTCCACAAGGTGGCGCTCACTTTGCTTGAAGGCGTCACGTCACAAAAAAGTTTGTCACCCACCAACGCTGCAGTGTTCTGCGGTAAACATCCATCGAGCCGCATCACATCCATCAGAACAAAGTGCATCAGACTGAATTTAATAAAGCGTTGGACCGTTGGCTCGATGGTCTCGCAGCAGCGCTTCTGTGTGGCGGCATGGCAGAAGAGTCCTCAGGGCGCCATTATCATGTCAGCATATCAGGACGATAACGGCTGCTTCACTCCCATGTTTGATCCCTGACATGAAAAATAAATGTGTAGTTGCTGTTTAGAAGCGTCTACGGCAAGATGTTCTAACATTTATGATCTGATATTATCACTGCAGACCATAGTTCTGTCTGCTCACTGCTGTGACTGCTCTGAAGTCATCGACAACATCCTTCTGACCAGCAACAAACACAGCTAGAGGTGTGTGAGATTCACTTTTGATTAGTCCAAATAATAATTGCAGATACTTTAAACGTAATCGTTGTGCACGACGTTGGCCACGCGAGGCTTCCCATTGGACACTGAACCAGCAAAGCACATGAGTGGAGTAAATGCAGCTGCTGTGGCAGATAGAATCACTACAAGTGTCCTGAAACAGGAAGATCTGAGCAGAGTGCAAGAGCTTCGTGATCAGCTGCATGAGAACAGCCTCAGGCTGCTCGGACATGGCAGCAAAACACGGCTGGACCGTGACGTGTCACACGGTCGCCATGGCGTGCTGAGAAGCCACTTTTATGTCCCACTGGCTCCTGGAGGAACTACAGACCTCTCTAATGTTGGCACAACAGTCATTAAACTCCAACACGCTTGTGGTTACAGTTTGTCATCAGTCCAGTAGTTCAGCTGCAGTTCACGCTGCTCATAGCCGTCATGACAAACACACGCCTGGTAAAAGTGACGTCATTCCCTCTGGAAGAATGGCAGTGTGGATATGTGAAATGTCTTTGACAAGGAAGAACTGAACTATAGACATCTGCAATACGAATCCAGCCATGCAGCCATAAACGGGACTCAGGAGTGGCCAGACTGGCTTTCATGGTACTCTGTGATCCTGAGCAGCTGCAGGCTTTAAAATATAAAACATTACTCGATTATGTGTAGAAACTGGTATTTGGCTTGAAGACTCTAAAATGAAGACGTCTCCATCTCATGAGTGTGCTCAGCAGAGATCATGGCTGCCGGCCAAGTCGGGGCTGAAGG